ACCAGTCAAGGGTATCAAGTTCTCCCAAATAGCTTTATTTTCACGACCCTGAAGACCCTTTTAGTTCTCTGATTTGACAACCTTAAAGATGCCCCACATTCGTCTCCCCTTGTCTGCCCAGCTGGGTCCCATACACTCTCTAAGCTGTGTTTAGGCCTGCAGATTGCTTCACCTAACCTAGCGATAAAATTGGTAGATGAATGGAGGAGAGACCTTGACCCCCGCCTGCACACAGTGAATCTCACTCCCAGACCTTACTGGCCCACCGATCCCTTTTCCTTTGTGTTTACTCTCAGACCACATAATTCATCATTTTAAAAACAGATCTATGTGTTAGCAAGCCTCTAGAACATCCACCACACTTTACAAATAAGTTAATCAAGGTGAGGTGGGGCAGGCTACTGCCTAAGGACCCAGCGATCTCTGCCAAAGAGGCCTTTGGATTTCTTGTCCAAGGCTGTTTGTAAGCATACACGCCCCCCCCCCCCACACACACATGAGCAGCTTCACTCCTCGTACTTACATTCTAACACAATGCATTTGGTGCGGTGCTTTCTTCCCACTCTGTGCATCCTGCTTTTCCAGTGTGTTGCTTGTTAAACAACGGGAGCTGTCTCATCCCTTTTGTGTGTTCTGTATCCCCATCTGGTGCAAAGATAGTCATGCAGGCCTGGCTCCTGGCCTTCTCAGTCCTTTCTCACTATTGCAGGAGAGGTTTAGAGTCTGCCCTTCTGCCAGGTGGGGAGCCACTTGGTCACCTAATCAGAACCTTTGTCCCTCTATACAGGAGGAACCTCCAGAAGACTGGAAAAGGCTTGACAGAGAAACAACTGGAGAACCTCAGGGTGGGGTCCAAGTTTTAGCAGCCACAGGCAGCCAGTGTTCACACCAGCAGATGCCCTTCTCCTCCAGAGGTACAAGGCCATGACCCTCACGAAAGCCTGAAGTCTGTCAGGAATGAGGTTAAACATCTGCTCTGTGGCTGTGTCTGGGGCTTCCCAAAAACAAATGGAAGAAGTTCCAGGGAGGCCAGTTTGATTTCAGCAGAAAGAAGTAACTGGGGCTATCTGGAAGCACCCTGTGTGCTCAGAGTAGCATGTAACTGCTTCTAGACAGTCACAGGAAGGTGGTTATCACACCACCAAAGTTTAGATGAGATGGGCTTGTTGGCTCTGTGGAGTTTGAAATTCTCTGGGTCTTCCCCTGATTTCTGTTTTCTTCCCCTCGCTGTACCTACTCTTTTTTTAAATTTTATTTATTAAATATACAGTGTTCTATCTGCATGTTTTGCCTGTACACCAGAAGAGGGTACCAGATGTCATTATAGATGGTTGTGAGCCATCATGTGGTTGCTGGGAATTGAACTCAGGACCTCTGGAAGAGCTCTGTGCTCTTAACCTCTGAGCCATCTCTCCAGCCCCTGTACCTACTCTTTTACAGTATCCATAACCAATTTCCGAGTAGTCCGCTTGCTGCTGCTGCCCTCCACACTTGCCCAGGGACAGAATACAGAAAGATAGAGATGGTGTGCTCATCTTCACAAGGAGGGGTGCGAGCCTGTGCTTCTTCCCTGCCTAGCTGCCGCCGCCACCACCACCACCACCACAGAGCTTTGCAAATGTGTCTTCTTGGGCAGACTCCAGTGGGCCTTGTCTTGCCCTCTTTAAATACCCAGACCATCTGGCCTTTCTTTTCCCCAACACCCATGGTACTTATTTCACATGGCAACACGCCTTGCCTACCTATGTATATCCCTGGATAGTGTCCTGCCTGTTCTGGATCTGTGAGCTCTACAGTCCTGAGGGTCATGAGCCCCAATGGGAAGGTCCAGTCTCAAGCCTTTTTGCCTCTGAAAGCTCTTCACACAGGACCAGGCACAGGGGAGCAATGGGTACTGAACAACCTTGACTTACCTTGTAGTGAGCTACTGAGTAGTAAAGAGAGGACCCCAAGCAGCCCTCGAGTCCTGTGCTTTCATGACAGTATGTGTCTTGTCTTCCAGAAGAGGCCCTGAATACTGGGGAGCTGAAAGACTTGGGGAACAGCCAGAGCAGGATGAACATCATCCACAGCTTAGAACAGAAACCCCAGGTATGACCACAGGCCCCATCGTGGTGGAGATCCAGCCACTTGGTGGGAGCTAGGTGTGGACACACTGCCTTCCTTTTGCACAGGTGGTGTCTGCCGTGTGCCTTCTAGGGGAAGGCCCAAGGATGGCTCTCCAGACTGAATATGACTTTGATGTAGACACCAACACCATACTCCAGGCACAGGCTCATTTGAGCCAGAACTATGAGAACCTATGGGCCCTGGCAAAGGTAATGCTCTTCATTTAAGCAATGTCCATAGCTAAGCATGTGGCATGTGTCTTTATTCCCAGTTGCTCCAAGGGCTGTGGTAGGAAAATTGCATAAGCTCAGGTGTCCATGACCAGCCTGGGAAATACAACAAGATGAAAACCCCCAAAAGTGAAATCATGCTTGCCTGGCATACTTGAAGTCCTAGGTTTCAATCCCTGCACCAAAAGAGAGAGAAGGGCTAGAGCATTGTTCTCAATCTGTGGGTCATGACCCCTTGGAGGGGGTCAAACAACCCTTTTACAGGGGTCACATGTCAGATATCCTTCATGTCAGAAATTTACATTACTGTTCATAACAGTAGCAAAATTACAGTTATGAAGTAGCAATGAAAATAATTTTATGGTTGGGGGTCACCACAGCAAGAGAGCTGTATTGAAGCAACAGGCAGCCATTTAGAAGGTTGAGAAACCCTGTTCTAGAGCCTGTGCATGATCCTAGGAACAAGCAGTGATTGATATGTTCCCTGCTCTAAAGGAACTTACATGATGACCAAGATGTCAACAATTTTTTTCTTCTTTTTCCCCCCAAGAGATTTTTTTTATTAGTTCAACTTAGAAACAAGCCTGCTTGTTTCACATGTCAATTCCTTCTCCCTCTCCCTCCCCTCCCCCTAACCCCCACCAGCCCCTACCTCATCCCCCCTCTGTTCTCCAGGGAGGGTAAGGCCCTCCATGGGGGTTCCCCAAAGTCGGTCATATCATCCTGGGCAGGGTCTAAGCCCTCCCCCAGTGTTCAGGCTGAGAGAGCATCACTCCAATGTGGGATGGGTTCCTAAAGTCCCTTCTAACGCCAGGGATAAATACGGATCCACTACCAGGGAGCCCCATAGAGTGCCAGGTCCTCCTCGTTGACATCCACGTTGAGGGGTCTGGATCAGTCCCATGCTGGCCTCCCAGACATCAGTCTGGGGTCCATGTGCTCCCCATTGTTCAGGTCAGCTGTTTCTGTGGGTTTTACCAGCCTGGTCCCAACCTCTTTGCCCTTCACTCCTCCCTCTCTGCAACTGGGTTCCAGACTTCAGTTCAGTGTTTCTCTGTGGGTGTCTTGACTCTGCCTCCATTAGCCACTGGATGAGGGCTCTAGGATGGCATATAAGGCAGTCATCAGTCTCATTATAGGGGAAGGGCATTCAGGGTAGCCTCTCCACCATTGCCTAGATTGTCAGTTGGTGTCATCCTTGTAGCTCTCTGGAAATCTCCATAGTGTCAGATCTCTCCTCGAACCTATAATGGCTCCCTCTGTTATGGTATCTCTCATCCTGCTCTCCTCTATTCTTCCCCGACTCGACCTTCCTGCTCCTCCTTTTCCTCCTCTCCCCTCCTCTTCTCCCCCTCACTTTCTCCCAGCTCCCTCTCCCCTACCCTCATGCTCCCAATTAGCTCAGGAGATCCTGCCCCTTCCCCTTCTCCGGGGTCCATGCATTCTTCTGTTAGAGTCCTTCTTGTTTCCTAGTTCCTTTGGTAAAGAGGATTATAGGCTGGTAATCCTTTGCTCTATGTCTAAAATTCATATATGAGTGATTACATACCATGTTTGTCTTTTTGTGGATGTCAACAAATTTTAAGTGGATGTGGTACAGATGTGGAGTTAAGACTTGATCCTGCTCGTGGCTGAGGATAGATGGGGCACACCCAGGACCTCTCTGAGCGCCTTCCCCGCCCTCTTCAGCTTCACAGGGCCCGACTAGAGGAGGCAGTAGCCCTGTTTAGCTTCTACAGCTCCTGTAGGGAGCTCCAGTCCTGGCTGGAGGAGCAGACAGCGCTGTTGCAAACATTGCAGCCCCAGGGTGACAACTTAGAGGTCACACAGCTCAAATGTGAGGTAAGCTGCTGAGCCAATGGAGACAGAAGTTTGCACCGCCCTGGCATTGCTTCTGTCTCCCTGTTACTCACTGTTTTTCCCCATTCTTCACATTTGTTCTGGTCCTTTCTGGGGAGGGTCCCAAGGCGGCAGGCCTAACTCTGAGGGCTAGTGACTCACAAGCTTTCCATCTCAAGGCTAGCAGGATGAGTGTTTTAGAGTCAAGCATCCCAATGCCCTTTGTGGTCCAAAGTGGGGATGGGGAGAGAAGAGCCTGCCTCCCAGGGGTCTGGGTCCTCCTCCTCCTCAGAACTTTCTCATGACCTTGGCCATCGGAAAAGGCCACTGGGCCGAGGTCATCAGCACTGCTCAACAACTGAAGCAGAGATGTCCAGGACACACCTCGAAAATCCAACAACAAGAGGAAGACCTGAACCAGAGGTGACAATAAAGGGTGGAGATGCAGGTGGGACAGGGCCCTAGCTTGGTGCCTCCTACCATACCAGGTAGAGAGGTTAGATGGTGTTGAAGACAGTGAGGAGTGGGCAGAAGACCACCAGCCTAGAAGCCTCGATCTTGTCTAAGACCTCAGCTGGGTGGGTGTCATTGGATGGATGGGAGGTGTGATGGATACATCCCTGTATCCTCTGCTCAGGTGGCAGCGGCTGGAGGCCCTGAAAGAGGAGAAAAGCCTGCAGCTGACAAACACCATGGAGGTGTGCCGCCTTCTACAGGAGTCTGAATCCACACGAGCCCAACTGCTAAATATGATAGGCAGGCTGAGGGCTCTGGGACCAGGAGGCTCTGAGGACAACCATGGTACTCTGCAGTGGACCCAGCAGAAGGTGCTGGTACTGGAGAAGAGGATCTCCTCCCTCCAAAGAACAACTATGGAGTATGGCCAGCTCTAGGATGGTGGTGGTGGCTGGGGAAGTGGTGAGGGCAGAGGGGAGGGGCAGGAACTGGGGTGAGGAGAAGATGGCCGCAATGTGCTATTGGAAGGCTGCTGGCAGAAGCCAGAGACTGTTGGCATGAGAATGTGCTGTCTTGACCTGGACCAGCAGGTCATTCTTCAGTGACAAATGAGTCTCAAATGAGGGGGGCCAGGAGATGAGATCAAGACAAAAAAAGCTGGGGTTGGGAGGTCTTGCACAAACTGCCTTATGCCAAGCAAATTTATTAAGAAATACAGAATCTCGTATACTATTTTCAGGGAGAGAATGGCCAGGGTCAGTAGAAATCTAAATCAGACAGTGACAGCCAGAGGATGCAGGGTATCCGACAGCTGCTTTAAGACTGATAACCACAGCATTTCAGAGGGGAGTGCTGGATTCCCAGGAACTGACACCTTAACTCCTTTGAGGCCCAGACCCCAGACTGGACCTTTCAAGGTCTACCACTAGGCAAGGACACAGAATTAGTGTTCTCCTTGTCCTTTCATTAGGACCTCTGAGAAAGTCTTGGATTGGATCTGGCTCCCAACATTCAGAGAAAGGGAGAGCCCCAGGCTCATGCTGCTTCTAGCTAGGGGTAGGGTAGACATTCAGAACCGTCACCATTTCCCTGGGAGACACAGGCCTGGTGTGCTGACTCTGGTTAACATCCTGCAGGGTGATGGGGTCAGGCCCCACAGAGGGCTGGCTGCTTCAGGAGCAGGTGCTGGTGCTGCAGGATCTGCTAAAGCAAGCGCAAGGGCAGCTGGCCCAGCACGTCCAGATCCAGACTGAGGCTCGGGTCCAGCGAGGCATCCTACAAGAGAGCCAGAAGTTGTTGCTGTGGGCGGAGGGCATCCGGGCTCAGCTGTGTAGCAAAGAGGAGCTGGAGGATGTGACCTCAGCCCAGGAGCTGCTGAGGAAGCACGGAGGCCTACAGGAGGAGACCTGCCTGTGGCAAGAGAGGTCAGGACAGGCCGGAGCGGGTTGAGTTCATAAAAGGAGGTCATGAGCCAGGCTGGTATCTGGCATGGCACTGCAGGCAGGTTTCCAGGAGAGAGCCTGGCCTACGTCAGGCAACTTGAATACTTTGGAAGGCACCCCCAGACATCGAGCTGCCAGAGGGGCTCTGAGTTCCAGCCCAGCCACTCTCTTTCAAGCGTTAGGATGGTGTCCCCAGTCTGGCTTCCCATTCTGAGCAGCGCATATCCTGCTGGCCTCTACAGTCAAAGGACCCAGGAGCCACCAATGGGACTAATATTTCTACCTCCTCACTTCCTTCAGAAGTGATGTACAGCCTTATGAGCAAACAGAGCCACCAGGTACACTCCTCAGACTGTCCCCTGCTCCAAGGAGCCAGACAGGTATCAAGTGGGCCCTGAGAGACAGACACCTGGCTTCCATTTATCACACACCCGCTACTTTAGGGTTACGGCAGCTTAAAGGAAATGCTGGTTTTTCCTGCCCCACAGTCATGCCACCCGTTTCCAAAATGCAGGGGTAGCATCCAGCCTAAAGGGGCACCTGTTCTCCTGGGTCAAAGGCTCCAGTGGCCCTAACAGCAGGCATGTGCGGATTGAGTGATTTTTTGCTGAGTTGTGTTGTCCCAGCCTGCCACCAGCCATCTAAATAGAGGACAGTATGATGTAGGTCCTGGGCACTCCACCTAGCCTGTTGCATTCCATCTTATTCACAGGTCAGAACACAGCTGTCCTATGAGAAAGGAACCAATAGGACTGAACAGCCAGTTATCTTCACTTCAGAGCTCTGTGATGAAGGGCTGAATGAGCTGGTGAGAAGGGCCAGGTATGGTTTGGCACTATGTTTGTTGTTTTACACAGGCTGCAGCAGTTGGAGGCTCAGGGCCAGCTGGTGGCAGTCTCAGACTCCCCTCAGTCCCAAGAGGTGGCCAGTGCCCTAAGGTTCCTAGGCCAGCAGGGCCAGCAACTGAAGGCTCTGTGTGGGCTGAGGCAGCAGAAGCTTCAGAACAGGCTGGAGTTGCAGAGGTTTGCCCAAGAAGTGGATAGCTTCATTGCCACCTGTGCCAGCCACGAGGCCTTCCTGCACCTGGACAATCTTGGGGTAAAGAGTTGGGGAAGTAAAACTGGAGTGCCATCCTATTGCTGCTAGAGGGAGCTGGTCTCCTTGGGCTCAGAAGCCAGGGTGGGCAAGAAGGCTCTGAGGACGACCTGACCTCAGGTCTCTCTATCAGGAGGACCTAAGGGAGACCCAGAGCCTGCTGCGGCAGCACCAGGGTTTTGGGTGGCTCCGGAGCACCCTAGGATCTCGGGCTGAGGCCCTGCGGGTTCGTGGTGAGAAGCTGCTCCTGAGCCAGCATCCTGCTGAGCACAAGTGAGCCATTTGCCTGCTGCAGTCTCTGCACGGGGACATACTGCTGCCCTGGAGCTGGGTGGAGTGGGGTTCCCTTGGGCTAGGGGTGGGGTAGGGCAGAGAAGAGCAGTCTCCTCTCCCACACTCCAGGATCAGAGAGCTGCTGCACAGTGCCCAGACATGGTGGGCCAGGGCCCAGGAGAGGAGTGAGCAGAGAAGGGAGCAGCTGCTGGTCTCCCTCCAATTGCAAGTGAGTCCGTACTGCAGTGTCCAGGAGCCCACCGCTACACTCAGGCAGTAGGATCCTGTTTACTGAGCACTTTCCCCACCTGCGGGTGTTTCCAAGAGGGCGCTAGAGCTGTGGTCACTGTGCTTCTCTGAGAAGCACCTCTTGACTAACGGCCCCTTTCATCCTACTGCACACTTGCCCTCACTTCTGACACACCAGGGTTTGCGTGGGTGAGGGAAGCAGCTATAGACCTTAGCCTTGACGCTTGTTCAGGCCCCAGGGCCAGGCCAGGCCTTCAAGAACATCAACCTATTTAGATCAAGAACCACGCGAGATCTGGTGTGGTCCAGAGAAGTGGGACCCCACAGGTATTTCTCTTTCTGGGCACAGTGCCCTTGCCTTATTTGGGGACCAGAAAAATCCAAGCTCTACCTCCCCTGTACCTGAGAATCAGCACTGGGTCTTGTTTTTCCCCCGCAGAGCCCTTCTCTCTAGAGGTAGGTGTGCTGCCCCTCACCCTGGGCCCTGAGACCCACTGTCTCCTGATTCTTCGGCAGGAATGGAAGCAGGCTGTGGCAGAGTTAATGGTGTGTATGCAGGAGAAGTGGCCCACGGTGGCCGGTGAACCCTCCCAAGCATGCTGCAACATTCTTCAGAAACTCAAGTGGCATAAAATAACTAAGAGTGAGCTGTTAGCTACCCATGGGTACATGGAGGACCTACAGCAGGTGAGGAGGCTGGACAGAAGGTGCAGGGCCCCCTTGTCTTCCGATTCCCAGCACGCACTGCTCTATAGAGCACAGCACTGAAGGAGGGTCCCCTCTACCTCCTTCACTTAGCTGGGTGTCCCCCTAGATAGGCACCCAAATCAGCTCAGAAAGCTGCCACCACCCCAGAAAGCTAGGGGAAAGCACTTGTAGCCAGCAACCTGCCTGTGGGTGCAGCATACTGCAGTTGGTGATGGTCCTAGTGGCTCAGCAAGATGGCCTGGCCTCTGTCTCCACTGCAGGCTGGGAGAGAGCTGTTGCATAGCCACCCATCTGCACAGGAGGACATACAGGACAGACTTCAGGGTCTGAATCACAAGTGGGAGGAGTTGCATTCCAGGATGGCAGAGCAAGGGGACAAGCTACAACAGACAAGACAGCAGGAGCAGCTCGTGGAGCTACTGCAGGTCCCTGGGGAATGTGGGATGGGGCGAGGACACAGAAGGAAGACAAGGACTTGGCTGGGGCAGAATGGGATCAGGCAGAACAGTGTGGCTCCACAAAGTCCTGCACAGAGCTCGGGCACAGAGTAAGCTAAGCATGGCTTTGCCCAGCAGCAGGCTACCACACGAGTAATTTCTGTGTGTCTAGCACACGAGTATCACAACTTGAGTACTCCAGAGAGGAAGGTGCATGAGGGGATGGCTTGCACACTACTAGTTGGTAGGCCATGATGAATCTGGGGCTAGGAGCACTGTGGACTCAGAGCCCCACAGGGTGGCCTGCTGGGCTACAGTGGAAAGGTGAATGCAGCCTCTTGTCACCCTCTCCAGGATGTCAGGGAGATGCTGGAGCACCTGGAGGGAGCCCTGCAGAGTACTGAGACAGGGCAGGACCTGTGCTCCAGCCTGAGGCTGCAGAAACAGCACTGTCTACTAGAGGACAAGAGTCAGGCCCTGGCCAGCAAGATGGCTGCCCTCATCTCTCAGACCCACCGTGCATTCACTTCCCTGACCATCCTGGAGGAGAGCCAGAAGTGTCTCCAGAGGTGGCCATTCCATCCTCACTGTGCCTGAAGGCCATGCTTCCCCCTCCACACACAGCTTGTGAACCTAAGGGCTGAATGCCACCTAAAGAACCTGAGGGCATCAAACCCCTTCCTTTCTGAGTAGAATTGTTCTGGGGTGGAAGGGATCCAGAAGTTTCCATCCAGCCCCTGATGTTCTTCTTGGGTCCCTGGTGGGGATGAGGAAAGGACCACGGCCTTGTCTTTATTCTTTCCCCCAGCCTCTTTATCTTTTCTCCTTCTACCAGGTTCAAGTCCCTGCAGAGCAAGCTGGCCACCAGGCACCTGCAAGTGCAGGCATCAGTTGAACTGTACCAGTTTAACTGCCTTCACAACCTGGAACTCACATGGGTGGCTGAGCATATGCCCAGTACTAGTCCCACCTGCCCTGCCCATTGCTGGCATGATGCCCAGAGCCTTCAACATAAGCACAAGGTAGTGTCACCTGTTTCCTCCCAGGGCCCCCAACACATCTCACTCCCCAAACTTTGAAGCCCCCTGCCACTATTCAGGGTATCCTGGCCTCTAAATCCTTCTCCCTGAGTGTCCTGGTTTCCAAATACACTTTGCTCCAGCCTGGCGATCTAGAACCTAGAGACACAGCCACGACTCTAATCTGGATTTCTGTGGCTAAGGGAATCACATTGTTCTGTGGCAGGTACTCCAGGTGGAGGTGAAAACTCACCTGGGACACGTGCATAGGGTACTACGTTCTGGCCAGAGTCTAGCAGCCTCTGGGCACCCCCAAGCTCAGCACATTGTGGAGCAGTGCCAGAAGCTAGAAGGCCACTGGGCAGAACTGGAACAGGCATGTGAGGCACGTGCCCACTGCTTACAGCAGGCCGTCACTGTCCAGCAGGTAGGGGGCCAAGAGGGTGAGGTCTGCAGAGTGGTGGGAGCTGGGCCAGCTGTGGGAGAGGGGAGCTGTAGGACCTTCACGGAGGGAGGCCAGTGATGAGAGCTCTGTGCCAAGTTAGCTGGTTCCAATAAGGGTCCAGAAGCCTCTCTGCTGGCTGCTGGTGACCACGACAGGTGACGCAGGTCTCAGCTAAGATCACCAAGATGAGTCACCATCTTTTGCAGTACTTTCTGAAGGTGTCAGAAATAGAGACCTGGGTGGAGGAAAAGTGGCCTCTGGCGAGCAGTCAGGAATATGGCAGCGATGATGCAGCTACCTTTGGGCTCATTAGGAAACACCAGGTACTGTGTCCTGAACATCTCCATGTGAGTGAGACTCTGAGCCCTGCCTGCTGTTTCCTTCCTGAACATGTGGCTAGCCCCGTCCACCACCCACCCTCCTCCCCTGAGCACACTTTTCTGCCAGCACAGCCTTGTGACTCAAGAGTGTGTTTACCTTCTATAGCCCTCCTGGACTTGACTCTTCATGCAGACTTGGGATGCCTCCGTCTCCTCTTGCTTCATCTCCTTCCCAACACTTTCCTACTCCTCAGAATCACCTGCTTCAGCCTGCCCCATGCCCTTCATATGTGTCCTTCTCTAGGGCTCTGAATGTCATCCTGTCTGTTAACCCAGTCACCATCCTAAAACCCATCTCCTCCCGCAAGCATTCCTGGTAGGAAGGAGGGATGGAGGCCAGAACGGATTCCTAGAACCATCAAGCTCCAAAGCCTCGGCCCCACTGCACTCCTGCTTCTTGTCATGGAATGTCCTCTTGTCACTGTTTTGTGTTATCTTGTGGATGAGGATTTTCAGTGAGCTATTCCTGAAGGGTGTGCCTGCAGGCTTGGCCTCATGCAGCCTCCACGTGCCAAGCATGCAGAGAGGCTTGCTCGGTTTGGTCTATTTTTACACTTTGATATTGGGGTCCAGCATGATGCCTCCTGTACCATCCGTTCCTTGGGCCAGTCTTCCCACTATTTACCTTTCCAGCTAAGTAGTGAACCCTCTTAGCGTGGAGAGCATATCTTCACTCTGTAAAACAGTAAGTGTGCCATCAGTATGGGGTAAGTGGGTAATGGGTGGTGAAGCTGACTGGATGGAATGCAGATGGTTAGATAGATGGGTAAGTACATTGGTAAGTAAATGAGCTGAGATGTAAGCAGATGAATGTATGAGTTGCTGAATGAATGCCTGGGGGGATGAATGTGTAGGTTGTGTTGGGGGTAGATGTACAGAGAGATGAAGAACCACCGGGTCTGGGTTCTTACATTGGCAGATGCTGCAGCAGGAATTAGCTCTTTGTTGGAGCTCCGTGGAGGATCTTGAGCAGAGATTCCAGACACTCCCTGGATTTGAGGCCTCTGAACAGCTGGGTGTGGTACGGGAGCAATTGCAGGCGCTACAGAAGCTGGCAGACGCAAGGTGAGGGGCATTATGGACCCTCTCATCCATGGGCACAGAGGCCCTAACCACAGCCTTCCATCCCCTGCCATGGCCTTATCATGGCGGGAACCCAGGCCTTTAGGATGCTGAGTTTTTGCTATGTGTTGCTTACCTATCTATAAGTTCTTCAGTAAATGCCCACTAAGCAGGAACTTGAGCCCTCAATTCCCAACTCTCCATCTCTTGCCAACATCCTCTGTCCCCTACTCTGGCCTTACTATGTCTTCTTCCCAAGTCAAAGGCTTGGGCAAAGATCATGAATAATTCTATTCTTCAGCCCCCCTTCCCTTCAGGTCCCCGGGGGATGTGTAGGCAGCTAACATCTAGGGAACCCCTGACTGTCACAACAGGGGCCAGGAGCTGGAGGGGACCCTGAAGCTACATGAATTCATGAGAGAAGCTGAGGATCTGCAGGGCTGGCTGGCCAGCTGGAAGCAGGTGGCCAGAGGAGGGGACGACCTTGGAGAGGACCATGAGCACGTTCTGGTGAGGGGCTAGGAACAGGGAAGACACATGAGGCAGATGCTGGATGATGGGGCTAGTCCCGCCGAGCTGAAGGAGAAGGCATGGTAGAGTCATGGGATATGCCTTTGGGGTGGAGTGTGCTGGTACTGTGGCCACACAACTCTGCATTGTCACTGAGCACCTTGACTAGGGCTACCCTGTCATCTACTCCCCTCTCTCCTCAGCAACTTTGCACTAAGTTTGCAAAGTTCCAGAACAAAATTGAAACTGGCGCCCTGCGAGTAGAGACCTGCCAGCACCTGGCAGACAGCCTGCTAGAGTGTGGGCACAGCGCTGCCCCCAAGGCCCACCAGAGGCAGAAGGATCTGCGGTGAGTGTGATGGCCCAGGCAAGGGTCTAGGTTTGGAGGAGGGTGCTGGCCCAGTGTCTTGGAATGTTAACAAAGGGTGACCCACTCTGCAGGTCACAGGGCCCTGCTTGCAGAGCTAGAGAGGGCAAGGTCTTGAGATGCTAAAGCCTCCCCTGTGCTCTGTGATGGAAGATGAGGCTGGAGAGACCAAACAGTTACTCCCATCTCCCCAGGGACACTTTTCTCAGTTATTGCCTCCTTGGGTCTGCAGGAGGAGTTGTAGAAAGAAATTACCTGAGCTAGAGAGGAGGCCTCCCATGAGCTCTGAGCTTCAAATTCCCATGCTCACAGCCCTTCCATGCATTACTTCTAGGTCCACCACCTGCTGGTATGGGGCCTTCTCTAGCCTGTGAGCTTAAGGCAAGCTCAGATCTTCTCATGACCCTCAGCCTAGAAGAAAAGTCTAGCCTAGAAGAAGCCTTTGAGCACAGTGAGAGCATGTAAAGGGGGAAATGGAGGAAAGATAGGGACTCTCTGCTCAAGGAATTTGTAATGGTATCATAGTTACCGTGTATTGCTGTAAAGAGACACTATGACTACAGCAATACACTTATAAAGGAAAACATTTACTTGGGGCTGGCTTACCGCTTCAGAGGTCTAGTTCATTATCATCATGGTGGGGCATGGCAGCACATGGCAGCATGCAGGCAGACATGGTACTGAAGAAGGAGCTGAGAGATCTTACTTCTTGATCCACAGGCAACAGGAAGTGAACTGTCTCACACTGGGCATAGCTTGAGCATATATGAGATCTCAAGGCCCGCCCCCTCAATGACACACTTCCTCCAACAAGGCTACACCTACTCTAACAAGGCAACACATTCTAATAGTGCCACTCCCTACAGGCCAAACATTCAAACTCATGAGTCTATGAGTCTATTCAAACCACCACAAATGGGATGAATCAACATACTGAAAATCAGACACAAAAGATGGGAGCAGTGCTAGAACGGAGAGAGTTGTGAAGTGCTGAGATACCAGGACAGTTCACAGCAACACTCCCTGTGAAGCTAGAGAGGCTTTGGGGAAGAGAGCAAAGTTTGTAGGATGCAGAAGGTTCAAAGGGAAAGCCCCATCCAGGAGCTTTGGGAAATCCATGGATTCCACTCAGAGATCAGACCAGGGCAGGAATGCAGGCTGACCCATGGCTGCTCTTCTGCGTGGTAGGGCTGCCTGGTCCGAACTGTGGCAGTTGACCTGTGCCCAAAGCCGCCTGCTCCATGACACAGAAACCACTCTCAGAGTCCACAGAGACCTTCTAGAAATCCTTACTCAGATTCAGGTATGAACTCTAGAAGTGGATCGCCCAGGCTCAGTGCCCCACCCTCCCTTCCTACCCTGCTCTGATCTTTTTATACCCTAGGAGAAAGCAACAAGCCTCCCTAATGATGTGGCCCAGGACCTTCGCGGGGTAGAGAACCAGCTGCGGAGACACGAGGTGCTGGAACGTGAGCTGGCAGGCATGGAACAGCAGGCACGTAGGCTGTTAGCACTCCCCTCAGGCCCCTACAGACCCTCCAGTCTGACCCACTTTTTCTTCCCGCTGGGCCTGCTGTGCGTGCCAGAGCATGGCCCATCAAGGTCCCAAGCTTGAGTACTGAGACAGAAACTGCTCTCCTCTCCTGCCCCTTACCTGCTAGCTGCAGGAACTGCTGAAGGCTGGAGGCAGGGTGCAGAAGCTGTGTCCGGGTCCCCAGGCCCTCACCAGTGTTCAGCAGAAGCAGCAAACAGTGACACAAGCCTGGGAGGCCCTCCAGCTGAACATGGAGCAGCGCAGGGCCCAGTTGGAGCCAGCACACCTCCTGCTCCAATTCCACACAGCGGTGAGGACTTTCTCCCCTTGGGAGGGGAGCACATGTGCACAGATGAGTACATGCACTGAAGCCCTCCAGTTCTTGAGGGAAAATAAGTATGGCCAGAAAGGGCAAGAGCAGGGGTCTGTGGTCCTGGAAGGACTGGGTTGGATGATGACAGAGAAACCAAGTGACAAAGACTTGTGAGTCACCAGAAGCCCTGTCTCAGACAGCTTGATGTCTCTATATGTGCATGGATCAGGCAGACTGCAGTTGTTTGCCGCCAGCCCCATCTCAAGGGTTCCTCTCTGTCTCTGGGGGGTCAGGTGAGGGACTACACCTCCTGGGTGGCCAGCATCCATCAGGAGCTGCAGACGGAGGAGTGTTCCTGGGAACCCAGCAGTAGCCTGCTCAGGCTCAGAGCCCACCAATGGCTGCGGGCAGAACTGGAAGCCAGGGAGGAACTGCAGCAGCAAGCTGCTAAGCTAGGCCAGCAAGCACTTCTGGCTGCGGGGATACCCACTAAGGAGGTGGGCACTTTCCCCATGCTCCCAGCCTACCCTGTCCTCCTTTGGACTGTCTCCTTCCCACCCACCCCCACCTCTTCTCCAAGGCTTCTGTGGGGATCTACTAGTAGCCGTCCCCAACCCCACCTTTCCACATTCTCGTCTTCAGGTCCAGGATGGGCTTCAAGCCCTACAGAAGGAACGTGACCAGGTATTCAAGGCCTGGACACTCAAGCAAGAGAAGCTGCAGGCCATGCTTCGAGAACAGCGCCTCCTCAGACAGTGTGATCAGCTGGCAGAGATCCTCACAGCCCAGGAGGCAGGTCTTGTAGCCCCGAATCTAACCCTCCTCCTCTTCCATGCCTCTGTCTGCTCCTCCCTTCCTTCTGAGTCTTTGGCTTTTTCTTGGACACAGAGCATAGGGGCTTTGGGTGAGTCCTCCCTGGAGGCTAGTGTAGATCACCAGGGCACCATGGCCTCCACTAGCACCCCCAAGCCAGATCTAGCCCTGCTCTTCCTCAGCCTAGACACTGGACTGAGACCCAAGGAGTTCGATAGAGGTTGCCCATAATCTCCACTTTGTCAGAGGTTGAGGTGTTGCCGGCCTCCACTCTGGGCTCCTGTCCCCCGCACCACTCCCCTGCCCATGTGCAGTGTTCATACCTGCTATGCAGGCCCCGGGGGTGCTGCCTCGGCACACAGTGCCGGCAGCCTTCGTGCCTCTGACCTTTCCACATACTGATCTAGGTATTCCTAAAGGCCAGTACCCTGGGGAGCTCAGTGGAAGAGGTGGAACAGTTGATCAGCAAGCATGTGATCTTCCAAAAAGTGCTCACTTTCCAGGACAAGAAGGTGATGGGCTCAGGGACTCCTGAACATGATGATGGGGGCGTCTTCAGGAGGGGTACGGTGGCTGGGTGCAGAAACAGCATTGGTATGTCTGTGGAACTACGGGTAGCATTGTACATATGGCTCAAGAAAAGACCCAGGCTGGGGTGCTCCACACTGCAGGGGCCCCAGGGAGCATTTACTTAGTCTGAAGTCACTGAAAGGAGAGTGGTTCTGGCTATTGCCAAGGCCATCAGCCAGCCCTTAGCCATGCAGAGCTGGAAGTCAATGGCCAGGTTGCCAGGTAGACCAGTAGACTGTCTGTGTTCCACAGGAGGCAGCTCTGCGTGAGCAGTTGAAAACCGTGTCAAGCCCTAAGGGACAGAACCTGGTTTACCATGTGCTGGAGCATCGGGCTCAAGTGAAGGAGCTGGCAGAGAGCCGGGGACAGGCCCTGCACACCTCTCTGATGATAGCCAACTTTACCAGGGCTGCAACTCAGGTCAGAGGACCATGCCCTGACTATTGCCTAAACCTTAAGAGCACATATGAGGTGGCATTGATACCATAAGGCTATGATGACAAAAAGAGGTTTGGGGAGTTAAGTGGCTTCCTAGGGGCCACGGAGCCCAGAACATTTGATTCGAAGCCCCTGTGGGCTGAGACTCATCTTTTGCTGAGCACTGGCAGAGCCAAGGCAAAGAAGAGCTATAGGAAGAGGAACATAACTGTACAGGTTCCTGGAACAGGGGGCTCACACCTCTGAAATGGACTCCCATCCAAGTTGCTTGCTCAGCCTAGCCTGCAGCACGGCTTCCTGGGCTAGAACCCTGGCTCGTGTTTACCAGATACTCCTACTTTTGCCCGAGGCCAGTAGCCCACAACCTGGACTTCGCTAGTGTGGAGGGGGAGTTGAAGGGGAGTTGGAGGTCCTACAGGATGGATCTCATAGCATTTGTGCCCCTCCCTAACAGGCTGAGGACTGGATCCAGGAGCGGGTCCAGCAACTGAGAGCCTGGAGCCCTCTTGGAAACCTAAAAGATCATCCGAAGCACCTGCAGAAACACCAGGCCTTCAAGGCTGAGGTCCAGGCCCATGAGCAGGTCATCACCTCTGTCGCCAAGGTAACCCCAGCTTCAGCCCAGCCTACTCTCAAGTGTTGATGGCCAAGGTCTCCAATAAGATGAGAGGTTCTGAGCTCTCCCCTATTCCTGTCTTCCAGCAAGGTGAAGGGCTCCTCAGACAGAGCCATCCCCAGACTGGAGAGGTCTCCCAGAAGCTGAAGGCCCTGCAGGAGCTCTGGGAGAAGCTGAGGCAGGCAGTGAGTCTGCAGGGCCAGGCCCTGGAGGACAGACGCAGCTTCCTGGAGTTCCTGCAGAGAGTGGACCTCGCAGAGGCCTGGATCCAGGAGAAGGTGAAGGTTCCACTGAACAGGGCATTTGGGAGCTAGGAGTGGGGATGGGTGACAGGAGCTAAAGGATGGGGTGGGAAAGAGCCAGGCCTGTAGTTCTCTGGCTCCCTGATGGTAGGAGCCTTGGTGGGAAGTCCCAAGCCTGTACCTGCCCTGACAGTGCCCCTGACCAGAGCTGAGCATTGCCCCAACCCTTGGCCTCCACAGGAGAGGATGGTGAACAGTGGTGACACAGGCTTGAACCTTGAGCACTGCCTGCAGCTCTGCAAACAGTTCCGAAAACTACAGGTAAGAGGCTGTGTTCAGGAGGGGTTGACACAGTGTCTGTCATTGGGAGATTTGTCTGATGAACTCCAGAATCCAGAGAAGGCTCAAGCTCAACTTTGCACTACTTCAATACACCTAGGCAAGCTTCCTCATCTGGCCAGTCCTTAGTTTCTTCATCTCTGAAATGGGTAGCATACCTTCCTCAGAGGCGAGGGAGTGCATGTGTGTGGTGGTGGTCACATGATTCTACACACCTGTAATAAAATTATGCCTCTGCTGGAAGCATTGGTAGTCCAGTTTCAATGTTATGGTAAGAAGCAGGGGAGGTGCACGGAGCCACTGCAGGGGAGGTGCGTGGAGCTACTGCAATTTTGTGAACTTATACAAAATTGTAATCATAACTTACTGTTTCAAAATTCCAAAACAAAGATACAACCTATGCTTGGGTGTGGTAGATAATCCTTATGCCTTCCTTCAGTGTGAGTCGTTCAGCATCTCCTCACCCACACCACTGACCAAACACACCAGGAGTCTATTTCTGTAGTACAGAGCAGGGGACGATGGTAAATATGTTCATAGCCAGGTGTTGAAGATGGAGTGTGCTAACCCACCTGTGGGTCAGCTTCATACTTGTGCTAGCCTTGCTATAGGTGTATGGGATCTGTGTAAAGGCTGCAGTCTTAAACCCAACACATCCTTAGCTGGTGGCGGCACTGGGTGGATGCTGTGTCCTGGTCCCGAGTCCTGACCTGCCACAAGTGACCACCATGGCCCTCTGAGTCCCGCTGTGCTCTGGGATCACCTCTCAGATGAGCGGCTTCATAGATGGTGCTTGTAGGATTAAGAGGAGTTAAATGTACCAATGTCGGGAGCAGGAAGCCTGACATCCACCTTGCTGGGGCTCCTTCCCGATATCTGTAAGCCTGCCTGTATCCAAGCTCCATTTTTAACTTTAAACACTACTCATGGGTCTGTGCCCACCTTCCCCTGCCTTCCCAGTCCTCATTCTGAGAAGCCCGTTTCCCCACCCGAGAGACTTTAAGATTGTAGATTCCAGGCTGGTCTTCCTTACTGGAGCTGAGGAGATGGCCTCCAGCACCTGCACTCCACCTCCCACTCCCCAAATGTGCTGTGGATGCTAAAATTCCTTTCTAGGGAGGAGACATAAGCCATATCTACCCCTTCTCCCAAGGCCACAGTGACAAACCAAGACATGAGGCAACGCTCATTCTGGGGTTTATTGGGCTTCCTTAGGGAGCATGATACAGGAATGTGGGTACTCCTCCCCTAACAAGCTGCAAACCATTACCCAAAAGGGATAGATGAGAGCTTGGAAGGAGCCCCTGCCATACTCTTGCCATGTGTACATGCTCTAGCTTCTCCCTAGGCCACGTGCAATTAAGGCAGAATTACATACACCAGATGCTGTGGAGCACCTGGAGACTCAGGTGAGGGTCCTGTGGCCCTCCCACCCGTCCATGAGGGAGTATAAATGGTCAACAAGCCCAGCCGGGATGATCTTGGGCGAGAGACACACCTGAACTCCCCAAGATGGTGGGGAGTGATTGGGAGTGCCCCACACCTTCACCTCCTGATAGGTCACGGTGGATGACACCTACATCAGGAGAATCAGAAACTTGTCACTGCAACTCAAGAATCAGAGCCCTGAAGAATCCGAGACCATCAGCCAGCGGCAAAACCAGCTCAACAATAGGCTAGTCTCAGACTGGGGAGGGCCGTGGGGCTGGAAGAGGGGCCGGGTGCCACCTCGGGCTGTAAGGTTCACCCTTATTCTGTGGTCAGGTGGAAGACTTTCCATGGCAACCTGCTCCTGTACCAGCAGCGGCTTGAAGCGGCCCTGGAGATACATACATTGTCCAGTGAACTGGATGACATCACTGAGCAGATCAGGGAAAAGGTAGGTAGTGAAAAGTCCCCTTGTGCACTGAGTTGGGAGTGACACTGCCTTGAATCTCCCATGACCCCAGTCCCTGGTCCATCTCTGCTCTTCAGCTGGTTCCCACCAGGAGTCTACCAGGGGACTGATGAGAAGCATACTACACCCCACCACCACCCTCTCCTACCACACACGCACCTCTGTGGCTCCCAAGCCTCCTTCTATCCCAGATATGTGATGGGTCTAGAGGCCAGAACACTCCTGTTTTCCTTGACCCTAAGCAAGTCTAAAGTCCAGAAGAGGTTTGGTCCAGGATGGCTCAGTTCCCATAGAGACAGGGGTGGACTGAAAGCTGGAGAATGTACACATAAGGCCTCTGCTACCTGAGAAGTCCCCTGAGGGACAGCACCCTCTTCTACTGCATCCTGCCCTTACAACTATCCCAGGCCTCTGTCCTTTGAGATCCCTCCCCAGATGGATGAGAGTTGAAGAGACAAAATGCCAGGACGTACCACACATACCTTACCAGAGAAAAGTCAAGACCCAAAGTCCTGCCCCAGGACTCTTTTGTTCCTTCCGTGGAGGAAATGCCTCTAGTCAAGTCCAGGGCCCTGCTCCAGTCCCACCCAGTGGACAGGAAGGGATTCCTGAAGGTGCTTGCATTCTACACTGTCACCCTAGGCCAGGCTTCTGTGGTGAGGGGACAGCTGACGCTGTGGCCTAGCCTGTAATGGCTTCCCCTCCCACCCTACCAGGAATCCCTGATCCAGGCCCTGGAGAGTACAGAGGATTTGGAGAATGTACAGAGGCTACCTTGGAAACAGAGAATGCTGCAGCAGGGGATGGCCCTCATCCAGACTCAGGTGGAGGTGTGCAGTTGGGGGACCAGGCCCTAGGTACATCCTCCAGAGCCCTGGCAGACTCCTGAGAGCCAGGCCCCTGCTGCCCAGCCCTGACCTTTATCCCTACAGTCTCTTGAAGGTAAGGTTGGCCACCTCTGCAAGAGAAGTCCGGAGGTTACCCGCTGCCTCCTCCATAAGCAACAAGAAATGCTGGGCCGCTGGTGGGAGGCCTGGAGCAGGGCCCAGAAGTGGTATGAGCTCTTGGGCCTTTGTCCCATGCTGAATGGTCCCCTCCCATTCTCAGACCACACACTTCCCCTTGGCCCCTCTTTTTCCTGAGTTTCTGTACCATTTACCAATTAATTCCCAGCCCGCAGACCTTCTGTGCTGAGGGGGTTAAAGGATACGGGGCCTGAGGGAGAGGGGGCTCCGTGATCCTAAAACTAACTAAGCAGTCCTGTGAGCAGGAGAGAGTCCCTGGATATGGGCCACAAGGTTTGGAAGCTCCGGATATTGCTGCGGGATCTGCAGGACTGGGCACAGAGACTGAAGGCTGAGATGGACATGAGGAGCACCCCATGCAGCCCCGAGAGAGCTCTGTACATGCTGCAAGAGCACCAGGCACACAAGGTGAGCTGCAGTCTCAAGGTGCTAGGCCTTTCAAATGTCACCCCTCACTATCCCCCCTTCCTGTCACCCCCTACTAGTACCTTTCTCTGTCTCCCAACCACCTCTGTCCTTTCCCATCCTCCCCTGTCCTTCCTGCTGGACCTCTGGTAACCCTGATAGGCCTCAGCCTACAGGGTACTGACCTCAGGCCTATTACAGGTCGAGCTGGACATCCAGACAGACAGCCTTAGCCTGGCCCGAGGCAAGGGGCAGCAGCTGCTTGCATCTGGATACCAACTGGCCTCCGGGATTCCACAGGCCCTGGCTGCTGTGGAGCAGGAGTTGAGTAGCTTGGAGGAATCGTGGCAGAGGCGGCAGCAGCAGCTACAGCAGGCCCTGGAACAGCAGGTGGGCCCCAGGCCAGCTTCCAGACTACTCTACTATCAGGACCTATAGTGTCTCCACAGTCCTGGTCAGGGCCAAAGCTGAACAGACTGCCTTCCTTGGGTATTCCTGCCATTCAGCCTGCTACTGTACCATGGAGCCGGGCCCCTGGTTCTCTAACCGGAACCACCAGAAAGGTCACATACATGCCTGTGTAGTCACTGGGCCCTCTCCAGACTTTCCCTTGTCTTTTCACCAGCTACTTCTGAGCTCTGTGGAAAAGGTGGAACGCTGGCTTGACAGTGAGGAGCCCTCTCTACCTAGTGAGAGACTGGTGGTAAGTGCCCAACAGGAGTGGGGAAGGATGGATGAGAGCAGTCGAGCTAGTCAGAACCATTGAGTTCTCTTGGTCAGGGTCTACCCCACTGCTGAGCAGTTACCATCAGGCCTAAGTGTTGCTCTCCTACCACTCTCCTTGCCTCTGTCCTCATTCCAACATCATCTCAACCCCAATAACAGACAAGCATGACTCATGGAGACCTGGGAGAATAATCAGGCCGACATAGTCTTAGAGTGTGGAGGAGAGAGAGAAGCACCCGGCCTGTCTTGGAAATGGACACAGATGCTGTCTCCTCTATCCTAAAGCTAGAGAAACAGCCTTGTGGGGTTTGAGTAATGCCTTTGGAGAACAATCGCTTTGTAGAAAGGGGTTCCAGAGGGAAGCAGATGGTTCAGGGTGGAATGGGGGAACCCTATAGTCGGCATGAGCACCCCACTTCCACCAGGACTCCTTGTCCACGGTGGAGACCCTTCTGCCAAAGCACAAGAGGCATGAGCAGAAGCTTAAGGCAAGGGCTGAGGAGATCAGTGCACTGGAGGCCACAGCCCACAGCCTGCACCAGAGTGGACACCCTGAGGCCCACAGCATCCTGGCCAGGTGCCAGGCCCTACTCCTGAGGTACCTATGGCTGTGGGAGGATGGGAACTGGGGTGAGTCAGCTCGGACATCTATTACCCAAGCTCTTCCCTTCCTGTTCAACCCCTTCCCCCAACTACTAGCATTTCCCAAAGCCTAGGATCAGATACTGGGAATACCCACCACGCCTGGCCTGGCCTTTTCTCCATCAGACCATATATGGCATCCACTTCCCTCATCCCCAGTCTCATCCACTAAGAAGCTCACACTAGAAAACTGAGAGGAAGTGACTTAATGACAGGAATATGCTAGGTTAGTCCCTCACAGCCACAGTCCTACGTCTCTCTGCTTCCCAATAGGTGGGACCCGAGGCAGATTCCACTGTCCTAGTTAAGTCTTAAATCTGCCTCTGAGAGGGCCATGGTGTCTTGGCATGGTGCCTGTCCCTCCTGAGTAGGCTGAAGATCTCTCCTGCAACTGAAGCTCAACCATAGACCTTCATGGTCTGCCCATTTCATGACACTAGCCTTGCCTTCTCCCTCATTGCAGCTCAACTGGCTCAGCTCCTCCAGTGTATAGACCAAGGCAGATACAGCCAAAAGCCATGTCCCAGACTGGCTGGGGCAACCTTCCAATTCTGTGGCTTCTTGTGTTGGTGCTCTACCAGGAACTAGTATAGCTCCTCTTGTTTACTTACTGTTTGTTTGTTTATATTTCATGTGCATGGGTGTTTTGCCTGCATATATGTCTGTGCACCATGTGTTTGCCTGGTACCTACCTCCAAAGGCCAGAAGAGGGCATCAGGTTTCTTGGAACTGGAATTTTAAATGATTGTGAGCTGCCATGTGGGTGCTGGGAATTGAACCCAGGTCCTCTGTTTTTTCTGAGCTACTTCATAGGCCCCAGCCCTCTTCATTCTTGTAGGTAGATTTCCCTGGGTACCCATGGAGGTCTGAATGGACAAACAGCAAGTTAGTTTACCAGTTCTATTACCTTAGGTGGTTCCTGCAGTTGTAGTCAACCCCAGCATGATGGCATTGACCCCTTCCCTCTCCCTAGGCTTGTGCCATACTTGGGAGGGTGTTCAGCTTCAACCTAGCCTCTAGTTTCCCCCAGTTCCATGTCCTTTGGTTAACACCAGTGGAGGGAAAAAGCTGATGAACTGTTCATGGGCCATGGGATGGCGATAATAAAACTTTATTCTGTGTGCATCTGCTAATGTTTTTCATACATTGTTTCAAAGGTATATATATTCCATATATATATATATATAATATATATGGAAAATATATAAATACATATATAATTAATATATAATGTAGCTTGCATATAGTAAATGTTTTAAATGTACTAAAAGGTGTGGTTGTGTGTGAGTGTGTGAGTGTGTGTGTGTGTATGTGTGTGTGTGTGTGCGCGCGCGCGCGCGGACTCTTGTTCACAGCAATCAAAAAAGTGGCTAAAGCCAGATTGTTGCACACACCTATAATCCAGTACTTGTTGGGGGGCAGGCACAGGAGGATGAAGAGTTTTGAGGCCAGTTTGGGCTGCATAGCAAGTCTGAAGCCCAGTTGAGCTACACAGGGAGACCCTGTCTTAAGAAGAAATGGGGGTGGGATTATCAAGATGGCTCAGCAGGGAAAGTACTTGCTGTGCAAGCTTATTGCTGTAACCTATGGGGGAAGGAGAGAACCAGCTTCCAAAGCTGTCCTCGGACCTCCGCATTCACTCCGTGATGTACTTGTATGCATGCATGCACACATACACAGACACACACACACACACACACACACACACACACATACATACATACATACATACATACATACATGCACACACATATATATATATGTATATATATATATATATATAATAAAATCAAAATGTAAAAATACCATAAAAACAAAACAGCTCTAGTGGCCTCAGGCCTGTGATCCCAACTAAACTGAGGCAAGGAGATCCCTAGACTTGCCTGGACTGTGGAGTAAATTTATGGTCAGCATGGAAAAGTTACTGAGACCCTGACTCACAAGGTTTAAGCCAAAGGAGGTGCAGTTCAGTGGTAGAGCGAGCACTTGCCTAGCATGTATGAAGTCTTAGGTTCACTCTCCAACACATTAAAAAACAGAAAAAGAAAAAAGTTGTTTAGACACTGTATTAGTTTGGACTATTGTAACGAAATGCTATAGGCTGAATGACATAAACAATAAAAATTATTTTCTCACAATTCTAGAGGCAAGTTCAAGATCAAGGTGTTAGAAAGGTCTGTCTATCTTTGGATTACAGTCTTCTCCCGTGTTCTTACATGGTCACTCCTTTGGGTGTGTCCTGCCTTAATCTCCTCATACAAGGACCCCTGTCCGCTCAGATCCCAGCTGACTTACCTCCAAATACAGTTAATGTCCTCAGATTAGGGTTAGGACATGACTATAAATGACACTAATGTGGAGGGGAAGCATGTGTGTCTTTGCTTCAAGGGAAGCCTCTGATTCAGGGCATTGTGATATGGAACATGAAAGGCTGGGCTACACACGTGCACACACTTGATACAAACACCACACACACACACGCACACACATGGGGAGAGGCAGCACGCAGTTGAGCCTGGGAGGCCATGAGACCCTCTTCTTGCAGGAAAGAGGCACTCACAGAGCGAGCAAGGGCATGGGGTCGCCAGCTGGAGGAGCTTCGGACTTTCTTGCAGGATTCTGATGAGGTTCCCATTGATTGGACTGAGGTGGGCGGGGGTTCACCTTCCTGGGGGCCCTCGGGAGGTTTGGGAAAGCAGAGCCTCCTTCTGTCCTTCTGTTAGGTAGCTACATGGCTGAGGGAAAAGAACCTAGTAGCTCTGGACAGGGGTCAGCAGGACCCAGCCACGATGCAAACACAGTTGCAGAAGCAGCAGAATTTCCAGGCTGAGCTGGAGGCCAGTGTTTACCAGCAACAGGAGCTGCAGATGGTGAGGTTCCATGGGGGCTGGGGGGCCACAGCCCAGCCCCCTGTACCCGGCTTTGAATGATAGTAGTGACAACTGCTGTCCTTTGCATGCTTTCTATGTGCAGGTACTGTGCTAGGCTGTGTATAGATACTCCCTCTTCAAAACTGGCACCTTTCTGATAATTTTATAGAGAGTATATTGAAACAATAAGACACAGCCCTGGAGCTCAGGATATCAAATAGAGTATTGCTTTTTGTTATTTGCTTGTTTTTGTTTTAAACATTCCCTTCTCTACCTGGAAAGGAATGTTACCCCAATATCAAATGCTTTGCTAAGTGTTCAGTTACCCATTGCTACTCTGTTGTATGGAAGAGGACAACGAGACTTAGATCAAGAAATTTGTGAAGCTGGGTGTGGTGGCACACACCCATAATGCCAGCACTGTGAGGCTGAGGCTAGACAGTAGCAAGTTAGAGGCCAGCTTGGGCAGTTTAAGCAAGACCCTGTCTCAGAAACAAAAGGACAAGGAAGAAAGGAGGGGAGAGACAGCCTGGTGTGTGGGCCATTACCCCAGTACTCAAGATTACAGAGGGCGCTTGCAGCAAGTCTGAGGCCAGCCTGGGCTGAGTAGTGAGACCCTGACTCAAAACAGAAAAAAAGGTGGGGGGTGGACACTAAGAGGGAAGAAGGGATGGAACTTTGTTCCACGTCACACAGTCAGAATACAGGAGGGTAATTGGTACCAGGGTACCAGCATCCTTAATCCAGAATATGTGTACAATGTATGGTGTAGGAGGGGCAGAGGCTGCTACAAGGAGGCCACCCGGCCTCAGAGACCATCCGGGAGCGACTTCAAGAACTAGGAGGCCTCTGGGCTGAGCTGCAGACCAACTGCCAGAGGAAGATGGCCAGACTACAGGGAGCCCACAAGGTGAGGCTATGGGCTATGAAGCAACTCACTGGACAGGACTCTAGGACATACCCCCTTCCCACTCTCTTATACTCTTCCATTCTGCCCCAGGCTCTGCATCTGCAGAAGATGCTGGAGAAACTGGAGAGCTGGCTAGAGTCCATGAAAGCAGAGCTGAGAGTCCCTGTCAAAAGCCAGGACCTGCCTGGGGTGGGCGAGCTTCTGGGGAAACAGGGAGAGCTGGAAGCAACTGTTGAGAGTCAGACCAGGCAAGTGCAGGAGCTGCAGGGTGAAGTCCAAGCCTGCGTTCAGGAAGGCCACTGCCTCGCCAAAGGTGTGGAAGAGCGAGCCCAGCAGCTGCTTCAGAGGTAGACTGCCCAGGACCCTGGTTTGATACCTTGGCCTCCCTTGCCTGTTGTCTTGGAGGGGCATCCCTCCTGCTTCCTGCTTCCTAACAGGTTCTCAACTTTTCTCCTGCCCACACTGAAGGGCACAGAGTAAGCGAGCACTTTGTTATAGACTAAAACACGGATGGCCGTGCCCCCCTCTGGTTCCCTTTCAGGTTCCAGAGCCTTCAGGAGCCCCTTCAAGAGCGCCGGGCAGCCCTGGAAGCCCAGAGCCTACTCTTGCAGTTCTTCAGGGATGCTGATGAGGAAATGGCCTGGGTTCAGGAGAAGCTACCCTCTGCCACAGCCCAGGACTATGGCCAAAGCCTAAGCACTGTGCAGCACCTGCAGGAGAAACACCAGGTGCTGGTCCATGCTGGGAGGCTAGAGAGGGTTCCCTTGGAGCTGCTGGAGGCTCACAGTCAAGGACAGGACACAGAGACCCAGCAAAGCCTCTGCTTTGTGGAACACTTAGTTCCTTTTGGAAACCCCGGGGTGGGGAGTCCTTGTAAGTCTGTAGGATCTTTAGGCCCAACTCAAGGTGTAGGTTCCCCAATTGCTAGTACATCCCTGGCCCTTCTTTCATTGCAGAATTTGGAGAATGAGATCAGTAGCCACAAGGCTCTGAGCCAGGTGGTGATGGGTACAGGTCAGAAGCTTGTGCAAGCTGGACACTTTGCCGCTGAAGAAGTGGCTGCCCGTGTGCAGCAGCTGGAGGCTGCTCTAGAGCACCTGCAGACAGAGGCAGCATGGAGGAGGGGGATGCTGCAGCAGGCCCTGGAGGCCCAGCAGATTTTGATGGAGGTGAGAAGGATGCTGTGGGATGTCGGAACTTCCCGAGAGTGTGGGACTTGAAAGATGACTCCAGGGGCAGGCAGAGCGAGGCGTCTGTGCTTCCACTGAGCACACTGAGCTCATTTGCTTTACTTTCACTGTTTCTTCCAAACCTGGGGGGTGGGTGGGAAGTTTTCTCAGCTCAAACTGTCAGAATCACTGGAACCCCTTGCAACTACATCTGAGCCTCCCCACAAACTAAACAAGTAACAAGAAATGTGAGCTGTGTACTCTCAGTGCCTAGAAGGCTGAGCTGTATAGTGAGACCCTATCTCAAACAAACAAAGTAATTAGAAACCAGGGATGGTGGCTCATGCTTACACACAGTTGCAGTACTCAGGAAGCAGAGACAGGGGGTCCACTTCAAGTTCCAGGTCAACCAAGGCCTACAAAGTGAAACCCTGTCTCATAAGACAAAAAATAAATGAAAAGAAATGAAGTAAGGACTGTTGGCTAAAATTTGCTTTTATTTACTTATTTTAAATATGCTTTTATTATACTAAATAGCAGCGCTGTCTCTGAGAAGCAAAAATGAATTGTCTTTATGTTACATGGAGAAAAAGGAGGGAATCACATGGATTCCCTCAAGGTCCTTCCAGAACGGCACCTTCTGGAAGGTGCCGGGGAGGAGCCATGAGAGCTCTCCAATTTTCCCATGCAACTGGCTGAGGACACCCTCCCCAAATCCCATACCATATTCCCTAGCTGAAAGCTGAACCCTGGGGAGCCCTCTGCTCAAGTCTCAAAGTGAAGTGCTGTGCCCAGGAAAACTAATTCCTGCTGTCACACTGCCTAGCTCCTGGAGGCAGGATCCTGGCTAGCTGAACGGGGTCGTATTCTGGACATTGAGGACCTGGGCCAGGATGCTGAGGCCACACAGGTTCTTCTGCGGCGCCTGGAGGCCACCATGAGAGACTTGGAGGGGTTCAGGAGTCACATTGAGCGGCTACAGCAAACAGCAGCCCTTCTGGAGCGTGGGAAGAACCCAGGCAGGTATGCCAGAGCCACACTCCTGGAGAAAAGCAGTGAGGAGGGTGTCCCTGCCACAGAGGCAGAGGACGTTGGTCCAGCCTGGAGAGGGAGGACTGTAGTCTATGCTGTCCTTTCTTCCTGTCACAGTCCTAGGGTGCTATCCCAGCTGCAGGCTGTAAGGGAAGCCCATGCCCAGCTGCTGCAGAGAGCAGAGGGCAGGGGACAAGCACTGCGGGAACAATTGCACCTACACCAGCTGGAGCGAGAGGCCCAGCTCCTGGATGCCTGGCTGACCGCCAAGTTGACTGTTGTTGAGTCCCAGGACTGTGGACAAGACCTAGAAGGCATCAAGGTGGGTTGGTCCTCAGACCCAGGGGAGCGGAGGGAGAAGATGCTTTAGGTGAAGAAGGCATGCATTTGAAGATGGCAGGATTCTGAGGGGTGAACAATGGAGATGCTGGAAGAATCTGCAGTTCTAGAACTCTAGAGCTAAGTGATGTTGGGGCTGCTGGTGCTGCCAGACCCCTTAGTGAGCTCCCTAGGCTGCTAGTAGAAACTCTACAATCCCTGGGCTTACATTCTTCCAGGTGATGGAAGCCACATTTGCTGCTTTTAGCAGAGAAGTTCAGAGCCTGGGGCAGGCAAAGGTGCAGACCCTGAGGGAGCTGATGGCCCCCCTGGAAAGAGGAGCACCCAGGTTCTACCCCCAGATTCAAGCCCAGAAGTATCGCATCCAGGCTGCTTGGGAGAGGCTGAACAAGGCAGTGGAACTCCATAGAGAGGTAGACCATGTCTCAGGGAGCATGGAGCCATGGAGCCCAGCACAGCCCTGAGGAGGTTCTCCCCCCTTCTCTCCCAGAACCTGGCTGCAGCCCGTGAGCTTCAGAGCTTTGAGCAGGCCGCCTCAGAGCTCCAAGGTTGGATACAGGAGAAGACCACCCTGCTGGAGGGAGAGTTCCAGGTCCACAGCCTGTCACCTGCACAGCCCCTGCCGCAGAAGCATAGGTGTCTGCAGGTAAAGGCCTTACCCAGGCCTGCTCACCCCAGCCCCAGTCTTCCAGGCATAAGATCTGTGTGCCTCAGTCCCTCATCAGAGATGACAGGTAACGGCTGTCCACCCGAGCCACTTCTCCAGGATATCGGACCACTCCCCTCTAGCCCAGGGACTAGGCTCAGGTTTTAGAGCAGAACAAAGGGGTCTCCACCTTTGTTCAGTGGCCAGGAGCCACTGAATAGGGGAGCATGTCTTCCCGAAGAGTGAGGTCTGACCTTGTGTTCTGGTTACAGAGAGAACTGACAGCTATTGAAAAAGAGGTGGCAAGAGTCCAGATGGAGGCCCATCGACTGGGCCAGAATTACCCTGTGGCTCAGGAGGGTCTGGCTGAGTGGCTCACCAAGGTGCAGGGGGCTCAGGCCAACCTGGAGGCTAAAGTCCAGGAATGGAGCCAGAAGCTGTCGCAGGCTACCCAGAGCCACACCTTTCTTGGGCGCTGTCGGGAATTGCTGTAAGCAGGGGTCCTGTCCGTACTGTTAGCTCAGCTCTGCCCTATCCTGGCTGTGGGGGAGTAGCATTCTGCCCTTGTCCCCCAAGCTGTCTCACCAGCTCTGTAAGCATCTCTCTTTCCTTGCCTGGCAGAGCGTGGTCTCAGGAGCTGGTTTCCTCAGGGGAGCTGGCTGGGGATGTGGTGGCGGCCAAGCAGTTCCTTGAGCAGCATGAGGAACTGGACCAAGAAATTGAGGAGTGCTGCCTTCAAGCCGAGAACACATGGCAGGAAGGACAGCAGCTGCTAGACAACGGCCACTTCATGTCCCTGGAGGTGTGAATGGAGGGTGAGGAAGGAGGAGAAAGAAAGATCTGGCTTGGCTTGGCTGTCCTGCTGGCACTGCCAGGGTGGGAGCTCTGCCCAGGCTCTCCTGGCAGCAGCCCCTTCCTACAGGTGGCAGAGTGTCTGCAGGAGCTAGAAAGACATCTGCGGGAGCTTCAGGTAGCACGGGACCTGCGTGGGCAACGCTTTGGGCAGAGCCGGGGCCTGCAGCAGCTCCGACAGAGGCTCGAGCTGGCTGAGGCCTGGCTGGCTTCCCAGGAAGGCCTGCTGCTGGACCCCAGCTGTGGGGTAAGTGGAGGCAGATCTTGATGCTCCTGCTCACGGGCCCCTGAGCTGAATGTGGAGGGCAAAGGAGGGCCGGCACCCCAGAGCTGAGCCACATACTGACTCATTTCTGTCAGCGCTCAGTGACAGATGTGGAACACCTGCTCTGCAGACACCAGGCCTTGGAAAAGCTACTGGCGGCCCGTGAAGAGATGTTCACCCAGCTTCAGACAATGACAGAGGTTCAAGGGCTGGATGAGGGGAGGCTGGGTGCACTGAGAAGATGCATATGAGGTAGTTGGGAGGGACAGTTCCTCAATCTATAGGTTAGGGCTCCTGAGGGCAGTGAGGCCTCATGGAGTCTTCCTCAGGGTTTCTCCTTCAGGAAACCAACCACCCCTGCTACCCCAGGGCCCTGGGGAGAGGTGTAAGTAACCCTGTGGGCTAGCAAGGACAGAAGACTCTAAAACTGAAACACAATCATGGAGGAGACCAGCACTCTTGAAGTAGGAGAAACAGGGAAGGATTAAGGTTAATGGTGTACGTGTACATACACACACACACACACACACACGCACACCACACTTAAACATACAATGTGCAAGAGCTGGCAGCCAGGTGGAGCCTTCCTGTGGAGTTATAGACTGATGTCCCCACTGGACCACAATTATCTCCCTGGAGCATGTAGCCAGGCCACAAGGAATCGGGACATCTTTAGTCCACATTTTAGAGCAGGCGTATAGGGGCCAGGAGCTCTAGGGCCCACTAGAAATGAGGAATGGGTATCTCCCTTTTCTTGTCTATACTGAGCCTGACATCTGGGCCCCTGCCTTGTATTTTCAGGAGGTGAAGGGCACTCATGTCATGGAGGGGCCTGTGGGACTTAAGCAGCAGCCTCCCGCAAAGGGGAGGCAGGTGAGTTCCAGCCCCCACTGTAGGCAAGCCCATGTGCAGTGGCCTGGCACTGTGATTACCAGTAGACCCCTGGGTAGCTTCCTAGGTGATTTCAGGGAAGACCCATAGTTCCTATCCACAGGAGAGAGGGGAAGAGAACCTTCTGGGTTGTCCTGTTAGCCTTTCCTTGCCCCCTCTTTCCCATGAAGACCATAGGCAGTACTTTCCTGGAAAGGCCTGGGGCCTTCTTCCCCACAGCCCAGCAACTAGCTTCTGGAACAGTAACTGTGGGACCATGGCAAGCAGAGCCCTGAGCCTGTTCCCAGGTATGAGGGAGGCAGTGGAAGTACCAGGTGGCACTGGGGTAAGAGACCAGTGTCAGGGGGGAAAGATGAGAGGTCCCACGGGAGAAAGCTTAGGTGGCTCTGTGACTCCTGTATCTCCTCTCCCCCCGGGAGCTAGCTTACATAGCCCTCCTTATGCCTGAGCATGAGAGACTGGAGGACAGGAAGCATACTTTCTCCCCAGGGTGAGGACTGTAGGCCTGGCCGCTGACAGCAAGCTTGGCTGAGGGGCTGCAGGCAGAGGCCCTGAGCCGGAAGTGGGGGAGTTTACTGGGGCCTGTTTGGGAGGCAGAACAGAGATCTGTTTGCAGTACTATCTGAAAAGCAGGCTGCACTCCGGCATGGCAGGTGGGCTGTAGGGAAGGAAGAAGGTATAGCAATGTCATACATCTAGACTGACGCACATTCCTGTGCCTGGAAGGCTCTTGTGATGCTATAACAGGTGACGGCCACAGCTGTGGTTTCTGACAGAGCCATCGCCTCTCTTGCAGGACTCCTGAACTCCAGCTTGATTCAGATGGTGTGTAGATGAAAAAACAGGATTTGTTCTAGACACATTAGTTTCTGGCGGTCCTGGGAGTGAGCCAAGGGCATTGTGCACATACTCTACCATGGAGATATAGTCTTGGCTAACTTACTTTACAATTAAGTTGTCTAGAGTAGCCTTGAACTTACTCTTGTAGCCCAGACTGACTTTGAACTTGTGATCTTCCTGCCTCAGTCTCCTGAGTAGCTGGGATTACATTTCAAGCATCCCAGCTACATTTCCAGGGCAGGGCCTGAGAACCACTTGCCTGGCTGACAGAGCTTTCAGGACCATGAGAATCAAAGTTGTGACATCCCACTCATCTCACAGCTCCTACTAGGAGCAGGTGGGATGTTCCAGGGAGGCAGAGGGCTGAATACCATGTTTAGTGGGGGATTCTATGGTTCCTAATCTCTGTTCTCCCAACAGGTTTGAACCTTGAAATGAATCCTGGGGAGCCACTGGCCCCAAGGCACCCTCTCTGGGCTGCTCAGGACCAGCTTCTAGAAAACATCTTGTTAGAGGATAAGCACTGCTGTTGTCATGTTGGTACTGGCTATGCCCGGATGAGCCTGAACCTTTTTACTGGACCAGGGCCTCACCCCAAGGTCTCTGTTTGGACAAAGATGGCAGTCTGACCATCTGGACAGGGCTGGAACTTCCATGCTAGTAACCTCTTGGAAGGATGTCCTGTGGAACTAATAGCCTGGTACAACAGATAGTCTTGGGACACGCCACCCAAGCGCCTCCCATTTATAAGAGCCCCTGAAACACGTCATAGCGTCCTTGTCATGTAACCAACACTGTCCCATTTCTAACCTCTGATGAGCCCCAAGTCCTTCCCAGGGGTGAGCTAGGCCACTCCTGGTGCCATGAGTGATGATGGCCCTAGCTCTGCTTGCAGTTTACGGCCTAGACTATGTGACACAGGACTGCTGACAGGCTTAGTGTCACCTCTGGGGATTCCAGACACGTATCTTTGTGGAACTGGACCTGGACATCAGGGTCCCAAGAGGCTCTGGAGCAGCACTTGGTGATACTTGTCTTCAACTCAGAGCAAAAGGGAAGGAGTGGAGGGTAAAGGTTCCCAGGTAGGAACCCCGCCAGGGTATCTCAGCCATCACTCAGGCCTGCACTGTTTGCGCTGTCTCCGCCGCTGCACAGCCTGCTGCAGGGCTTCCCGCAACCGTTCCTGGTTGTTGCAGATATTGTAATGTGTAAGGCGTAACAACTTGTCCACATCCTCCTGGCTGTAGGTCACTTTTGTGTAGTGGTATGGGGAATCAGAAGAAGAGAGGTTCACCTTCCCAGCTGCCTTCTCCTCCAATGCCCGTGGCACCCCTGTGGAGAGAGGACAGTCTAGGCAGGAGGCCTGGGGACACCTGCACTGAGGCGAGTCTGGAAGAGTTGGTCATGGCTCACCAGGGGCCGAGTGGTCCTGGAAGGAGTCATTAACCAGAGGGAAGTGCAGCACAGCTGGGGCTTCGGGCTGGGCAGGGTCACAGAACACATGGCACTCCTGAGGTTGGCGCTGCTCCTCGGGGCTGGGTGAGATGGGGGGGAAAGGGATGCCCTGCTCCTGGCAGAACTGGCTCACAAGCTGCAGCTGCTGCTGGGCAGGCAGAGGGGGCATTAGAGGTCCAGTGTGCAAGGCAGACTACACAAGGGCATTCGCTAAGATGCACAGGACTTGGTGCTCAAAGACCAAGTTGGAGACTTCAGTGGACCTAGAGTCCCACAGTCTGACTGTGTGCCCCCTCCCAGCTCCTGAGGGCTCCCCTGAGATATGGCCAACAGCCCTCTGAAAATGGGAGCCACTCAGAAGCAGCAGGCATGTCAGGATCTCTTCAGGGTCAGGTACAGCAAAGAGAACTGTGGTACAAGATAGGTGAAGATATCAACCAGCTACTCAGCACTCCACTCCCAGAACAGAGTTAACTTCCCCTAGTAAGGGGCTGCCCTAATGGAAGCTGGGCCAGATAACTGGATCCTAAGCAGATCTTATTAGGTTCCTAGAAGACAGGCTAGCCTAGCTGGCCCACCATCTCCCCAACCTGAAAGGCTCCATGGAGGTTATAATCCAGCGACAAGATGAGGTCCACATCCCGTGTTGGCTTCAGGAGTGGTGGGCAGCTAGTATTGATGAAGTAGCCAACATCCAGGAGGCAGAGGTGGGGCTCCATGGGCGTCAGCTGGTTGGGGAACCCATCCAGTTTGGTAGCTACAAAGGTTTGGGGTGGGAGAAGTATCAACCGTCATTGTGGGTCCAGGCCTCTTTAGGCACATAGCAGACGGCACATAGCATTCCCATACATCCTGCCAGAGCAGCATATCGCAGGGAGAGAGAAAAGGAGGTGGTGGGGTGTCCTAAGACCAAGGATGCTGCAGAGCCCAGGCTGAGCAGGGTGAGGTGGGGTACCTTTCCAGGTGGAGAAGTGAGGGTGATGGAAATAGTCCTTGTGGAAATGGAGGCCACGCATGAAATTGTGGGTGGCCTGGGCAAGTGGCCGTTTTGTCAGGAGGTTGGTGAAGAACTCGGCGATCCTCCCAACTGTTGGCGGGGGTTCTGTGATCTTCAGATGGGGGACCCGTTCTTTGTCTGCACAGGAGAGAGTGGGGGTGAGGTGACAGGTGACATTAGGAAAAGGAGGTCTCTGGTCCTTTATCCCAATCTCTATGGTGACCCTTGAAGGGAAGCAGCTGAGGTTTACCATGTCTCAGACTCCCAATTGGCTGCCCATCTCTCTTACAGAAAGCCCAAGCACCTACCCAGGCTGGCCCGATCCTGGGACCAGCGGTCCCAGAACTGTTTGGGTTCAGAGGCCCAGTACAAGCTGTCTTGGAGGCTGGCTGCAAACAGGTTGCTCCAGATACCTGAGGAAGGGGCATCAAGTGAAAAGCTCTCACCTGCTATTACGGTCTGAACCCGGCCTCCCTCTCACCCAGGCCCCCTTTGCCAAGCTGCCCATTATCTACCCTCCTCACCTTCCAGGAAGCAGATGCGGGACTCGGGGAGCTGCTTCACCAGTCGCCCCATGAAGAACTCGGAGCCAAAGAGCTCAGAGGGGATGAAGGCCCCATACTTGGGAAAGCCAACTTCATAGGGAGAGAACTCACACCATTCTGTGAGGACAACACACACCACAGCCATGGAGCCCAGAAACCTTGAGCACCCAGACACCCAACAGGGTCTTTAGTTTAGCTCAGGGGACTAGAAGGCTCAGGCCACGTTACAAGCATGGGACTTAAGGTCTCCTCCCCCATCCCAAGGTTGTAAAGGAGCTGGCAAGATGACAGTCTTTGGTACTTGGACCTGGAGAAGTGGGCATCAGATTCACTTCTTACATACAGGACTAGACACACTATACCCTACCACGCATTAGAGCACAGGCCCCAGCTCTGAAGCCACTCACCCCCAAATTCAAAGGTGGTCAGGCCCCGCTCCTTGCTGTTGAGTGCACAGTAGATAGGCAGAGGGTTCTGGCCTTGACTCAGAGCCTCCCGTTGATCTGAGAGTTTGTGTTCATGGGGCTGAGGGAAAGAGGAGCTCAGCCTAAGCCCTCAGTTTCCTGGTGCTAGGAGTCTTTCCCACATCACCCAGGGATACATCCCTCTCCAGACAGCTTTACCTTTCCTAACCCAGGGCCCTCTCTCCCTGTACCTCATCATGCAGCAAGGCCTCATTGATGAGGGCCCACAAGTTGGTGAAGCAGGTTGGGTGGCCCAGACGGGTACGCTCAGCCAGCTCCTGCCGGTACCTCCACAGCTGGCTGGGGGCCAATGCGCCCAGCTTGCTCTTTGTCACCTGGGTCTTTAGCAACTCGGTGGGCCCTGCCAGGTCCTTCTGAGACCATTCTGGGTCCTCATAGAGGTTGGCCAATGCCCTGAGGAAAGCCAAAGCTTAGACGTAGGGGAATGTTGTCACCAAAGGACCCCATCTGGACTTCACATGTCTTTGACTTTCTCTTGAAGGCCATCAGTCTGGCCAGTGCCTACTTGTTCCCTGGAGCACACTGCACCCTATTGCCAGCCTTTTTCCCAGTCCATGCAGTCTGCACAGGGCCTGTGGGACTTTCACTACGTTCCCTCCCTGACGCCTCCAGCACTCAGCCCCCAACCAGCTCACCAGGTGGATCCTGAGGCCCCAGTGATGTAGGAGATGCAGTCCAAGAGACCAAGCTCCCTCAGGCCAGCCAGCTGTCCATATAAAGAAGTCATGGCCCGGATGCCACCACCAGTGGCCATAATAGCAATCACGGGTATCTGGAAGAGGAGAGCCAGGTTCAAAAAGGCCTGAGGAGTAGAAAAGCCGCACTCTGGGAAGAGATCATGATTACCAAGGGGCCAGCCAGTCAAGATGTGATCAAGTCTTGGGACCAGCTCTGAGTCAGCCCTGTTGAGATCTAGTCTGAAACAGCCTCCCAAAGGCCTCACTGATTCAAACATCAGGGCTCCAGAAGTATGTCCTAACAAGTGCCAGGCCACAAGGAGCCTGCGAGCACTTTCTGGAAGCCCACAAGGTCCTGCTCTCCAGTGCTGGAATTCATTTTGCTAGGAGCCAACTCAGGCTGGTCTGAACCTCGGAGACCATTCTGAGTCAAGAGACCATCCTCATATGAGGTGTGTCTCAGTCAAATCACCTCACTCATCAGTCAGGTGAGGGACCAAAAGCCACAGGGAAGGCAACTCCCATCTGTGAGTTGCCAGTGCCTCATGTACCACCCTGACAACATTGAGGAAGAGGAACAGGGCAGGCAGAGCTTGCCAGTGACAGGCCCCGAGCTGATTCCAGCTCTGGGCTGCACAACCCTGGGCTTAAGCAGACATGAGGAAAACTCCACCCAGTTGTGCTCAGTCCCCAGACCTCATCCTCTTGCAGGTCTTGGTCCAGCTGTAAGGCCTTTTTCAGGGCAGCAGCCACCACCCGCTTCCTCTTGCTTAGGAAGGCCTGCTCCTCAGGGCAGAGCCCACAGCCCAGCCGCACAGCCAGATCCTTTGGTCTGGGGAGAAGGAAGAGACCCAAAAGCAGTTCTCAGTACCACCACAGAAAAAGAAACTGGTTGGCTTCATCTGCCAGACCCTTGCTCTCTCTCCTCCCTTCCCAGTCCTCACCACCACTTGCTGTGGAGTGAGGGGAAGGAGAACCCAGGGCCATGCACACATGAGACTGGTAAAGCATACCATGGGACTGAGCACACCTAGGGTCTAGGGCTGGGCACCTCTTCCAACTCAACTCTCACCCACAGCTCCAAAAATGACAACAGGGTCAGAAAACAAGGCCCGCTGCCCCCACCTATTTGTGATGAAAAGCCACCCCCCCAAGGGCATTTAAGGTCCCTCCTCAATAGCCTCCATACCAAGGGGCATCTCTCCCTCCCCCTTCCTCTTGGTGTC